AAGTTAGAGGTAAACAGATTCTACATTTCAATGCAATATTTAAGCTCTTGAAAACAATTCAGTTTACATAAAAGTTTGTTGTTGTTAAATGTACAGCATGGAAACGTATTTACAAACAAAACTGCTGTCTCCTCAATACCGGGCCACGGCAGATGTGGTGGGTGAGATGTGGATGTGTATGACGTGCCGGCGTAGAACGGCGCTGTCGATGACAGTCACACACTGACAAATGGGTGGACATGGGACCACCACAGTCACTCAGTGAACAACCTGCCTTCCAACACTGTGCATGGTAACGGAAAACGTAGTCTAAAAGCTCTGCCAAATAAACTACACTGCTGTCAGTGTCCCTACAGGAGGCACCTGTGCCTTCGAAGCTGCGCCCATAACCGGGCACTCACACTCGCAAATGTAACAGACTCGGCGTTACTTCACCACATGCCTGTGCGTGGACACGGCTTAGCAGCAAATACAGCTACTGCGGCATTGGCCTCAGTGGCGGCGATGGCAGCCGACTCAGGTACACAGGCTAATGAAGCAGCGCTTCTTGTGGTAGTTGAGGCCGCAGTGCTGCGCAAAGCCCTTGCCGCACACGGTGCACACGTGCGGCTTCTCGCCCGTGTGCATGTGCCGGTGCTGGTTGAGGTGCGCCATGCGGATGAAGGCCTTGCCGCACTCGGGGCACGCGTAGGGCCGCTTGCCCGAGTGGCCCTTCTTGTGGCGCGCGAGGCCGGACGAGAGCGAGAAGCGCTTTCCGCACTCGTCACAGATGTACGGCTTCTCGCCCGTGTGCACGCGCCGGTGCAGCGCCAGGTTGGTGCGGAACATGAAGGCTTTGCCGCAGTCTTCGCACACGAAGGCCCGCTCCCCACCGTGCGTCTTGCGGTGGCGGTTGAGGCCGAGCGCTGCGTGAAGCGCTTGGGGCAGCTCTCGCACTGGTGCGGCCGCTCGCCCGTGTGCGTCGTCATGTGCTTGCGCAGGTTGGACGACTGCGTGAAGGCGCGCTGGCACTCGCCGCACTTGAACGGCTTCTCGCCCGAGTGCACGCGCTTGTGCAGGCGCAGCACCGACGAGTAGACGAAGCACATGCCGCACTGGCTGCAGGTGTACGGTCGCTCGCCTGTGTGCGTGCGCCTGTGCTGCAGCAGGTGGAAGGGCTGCGCAAACGCCTTGCCGCAGTCCTCGCACACGTAAGGCTTCTCCCCGTTCGACCTCCCCTCCGGGCGCTTCTTCTTCGGCACCGCCGCCGTCGGCTTCACCTTCGCTTTGCCCGTCGCCACTCTCTTGGTGCGCGGTTCGTCACCGCCTTGCTCGCCCGCCGTGCGTGCGGCTGTGTAGCACCAGCGACAGGCGGTTGCGGAACTCCTGTTGGCACGTGTTGCACCGGAACGGAGCATCCCCCGGGTCGTCGGGCCCTTCCGGCTCGGCGGGACACCGCTTGCTCCAGCGCACGGCTCTCTTGCTCCGCTCCCGGCATGCCCTGAGCGGTGTCTCCATCGCCTCGGCGTTGCCCTCCACCACTGCCGCCGCCGCCACTCCCGCATCCAGGCCGAAGGCGGCGTGTTCGGGAGGCAACTCACCCTCCACCTCTTCCACACAGCCGCTGGTCTTGTCCTCCTCCATCTGTGCACATTGCAGGAGCAGGTGGCTCGGTTCACCGTCCTCAATGACCACATGCCCTGTAGGATCGACAATGCGTGGGAATTAGGCCAAGTCGTGGAGGAGTTGGGAATCACTGTCTCAAGTGCCCCACGGTACCCGTATTATTATGCACAGTGTCCTTTCTTTCACCAGAATATTAAATAAAACTCGAGACATGTAAAACATTTCCTACATTGCAAGGGCAACCTGGGTGCATTGATGCGAATTAAATGCTGAATTAGTGATGCAGGATGCAGCACTGCATTCGTTTATTCATAAATTTATACTCTCACAGTATGCGCATTGAATTAAGCATTTTAGAATAGATGATTTACAATTCATGTAATATTATTCTTATGGGGCGAACAAACCAGTACAAACATAGGGAAAACACAAATGTATGTATTTAGAACTGATTTCACACCATATGTAGCCAACCGTGCGAATCAAATTAGATGTAAAAAAATAATCCGTTCCCAAAAATCCATGTTCAGTATGTGATCTGTTCTATTGGCCTTGGATTTATTGCACTGATATTACCTTGTTGATGGTGCACGACCTTACCATTCATAACTTGACAATGTAGCTGTATTTGGATTTTGATTTAAAGCTTTCGTGACTGCAGGGATTCATATTCATATTGTTTTATATTATTTTATTTCCCTTCTACGTGACTTTACCGAAAGAACCAAGAATATGTATTTGGATTGTTTTGTTCATTTTTGTTTTCTGTAGCCAGGTTTTCATTGTGTAAGCAAGTCCCCATCGAAAATAAGCGTTCATTGCCCTATGGGTTTTACCTGTGCCAAGATAAAACCTAGAAAAATTCAACATAGAATCATTAAGATAAAATTGTTGGAGGGTGCTGCTGGAGGTAGCATATTACACACCTACACTGCCTAATTATTATTATGATAATTTTGATAATTACGTTTGTTTACCCAGCAAAGCCTCATAGAACATCAATACTTTCACAGGAGGGTCCTGCCAAGTTTTCACAGTGGGGGGTAGTGATGTGTAATCTCAAATTGAGTCATATGCAGGTCGTTTTTCAGCAATGGAATGTTTTTGGCCCAATACCAGTTATGGTGTTAGTTTCGGCAATGGGAAGAAATTTCGATTTAAGCTTTCGTGACTGCAGGGATTCATCTCTTGGTTCTTTCGGTAAAGTCACGTAGAAGGGAAATAATAATCAAAATAAAACATAATAAATATTTTATTATGTTTTATTTTTACTTATTTTATTTTATTATTTCCCTCCTACGTGACTTTACCAAAAGAACCAAGAAGATGAATCCCTGCAGTCACGAACCCTTAAATAAAAAAAAATCAGGAGGAAATTGAAGCACAACAGGGGGAGAACATACAAACTCCATACAGACACGTGCCCTGTCAACTTATAACCACCCAATGTGCTTTCACGGGGTCCAGTAACCCCATAGGTAACGGAGTGAGCGGCTCAGTGTGCGCACACGATGCAGCATGGTGGGGGCCAGGAGGCACGCGACGATCGCAGACAAACAGCGACCCGACCTTCGCTGGCGTCCAGGTCCCCGTTGCTGGTGACGACGTCCGTCTCGGAGCCCATGAAGAGTGCCCCTTCATCGTGCTCTGCCAGGGCCTCCATCGGGAAGCATAACTCTGGGAACGCACACAGCGTCATCAGGTTTTTGTTTGAAACTAAAACTTATTTTATTTACCAGGTAAAGCCCGCTGAACTATGTAGCTTTTTTCAGAAGCAACCTGGCCGCAAATGATAGCTCAATTAAGTGGCTCATCACGTGGAAATGTACCACAGCCAAATACTCTGAACGCACGTTTGTAAATGTGGAGGGAAGAAATCGGAGGACCCGGAGAAAAATACACTCGACCACAAGTACTGTAAATGCAAAATCCAAATATACAGGTGTCAGGGTCGGGATCGAACCCACAACCGCCAATATTCCAGGCGAGGTAGTTAACATCTCGCCACTGTGGCCCACATTTGGGTTTATATTTGTCCCGTCTCCCCCAAAGTATTCAAATTATTATAATGGACGCCTCTGGCCAATAATGTATTTGTAGTATCATTACTCCACTCGTTTACCCAGGAAAGCATCAAAATAGTCTCAAAATCCTTTTTCGGTAGGGTCCTGCCAAATTTCCTTTTTTTACGAGGGCACTACTACGTGTTTTCCCAATTAAGTAATTTTCAGATAATTTCAAATCACCCGTTCTGGTCAGATCTGCGTATCCCAGCTTAAATCCCATCCCAGCCATAAATAGTCGCTCCAAGCCTGGGGTGTATCATTCAGACTCTGTCTTCTCGACGGACCTGTTCTCCACCTGAGGACGGCTGCTTGCGTTGTGGCCGAAACGTCGTGAGAATTATTATATGGGTTTTATTTTTATTATTTTATTATTTCCATTCTACGTGACTTTACCGAAGGAACCAAGAAGACAGATCTGCGTAGTTCAGTGGGGGGGGGGCTGTCGGCTGCTGTTGTCAACAGAGGGCAGTGGAGATCAATAAATTATATTTCACGATCCGCTAAACTATTTCGCACCACCACCACCACCCTCAACTACGCTCCCATACCTTCCTACCTTCCAACATCCTGCCATGGCCAAACAACTCCCAGGGCCCTGCACTTTGTGGCGAGGCCGTAATCCAACAGTGTATCGACCCAAGTACTTTGCACCGTGTAAATCAGGGGTCGGGAACCTTTTTGACTGGGAGAGCCATAAAAGCCAAATATTTCTAAATATATTTCATTGACAGCCATATAGTATTTTTAACGTATAATAAATTAAATATGTCTTACTTTTAATGCGACTTCTGGTCACGGGACCCGTGACCCGTGAAATTTTATCTTCAAAGCTAATTTCTGATTACTTTAAAATGACACAGTATTATTAAGCAATATCACAAGTATTTTAAAATCAGTTCCAAACTGATTTTATTTTTTATTTTTTGTTATTATTTTTTTCAACTCAAAATTGTCTGGGAGCCATATGCCGTCACCGGAAGAGCCATATATGGCTCGCGAGCCATAGGTTCCCGACCGCTGGTGTAAATCATCATCATCATCACTCGCGTATCACAGCCCACTGAGAGACTCACTGGCGGCGTGGCAGCAGTCGCCGGCTTCCAGCTTCACGTCCGAGTCGCACTGCGGCGCCTTCAAGAGCACGTAGGGGTCCGGGATGCCCACGTGTGCCTCCAGCCCGGCCATGGATCTGGTCACCTGTAGAAGGTCCGGTCACCTGGGGGGTGGGTTGGTTGGTTTGGTCACCTGTAGAGGCTGCTTCACTCACGCCAGGGGTCGTGTCACCCGTGCCTCTGTCCACCTTGAGGTCGGTGCAAATGAAGGTCCAGTCACTTGCAGATTGGGTCTCCCATGGGGGGGTCAGAGGTCGCCAGAAGTCGCTTGTCTGCCCACCTGGTTGGGGTCCAGGAGGCTGCTTCACTCACGCCAGGGGTTGTGTCACCCGTGCCTCTGTCCACCTTGAGGTCGGCGCAAATGAAGGTCCAGTCACTTGCAGATTGGGTCTCCCATGGGGGGGTCAGAGGTCGCCAGAGGTCGCCTGTCTGCCCACCTGGTTGGGGTCAGGTCACCCTGCAGATCTGGTGTAACACGCGGGCCACAAGGCACGGGGGCAGGCAAGACGAGCTCCCCACGGCACTCCTCACACCTCCAGGTGACACCGTGCTGGCCGCGACGTCGCTCCCCCCATTTCATTCACCGTCACTGACAGAGCGTGGCCCGTGGCCCGTGGGCTCCACCTCTTGAAGATGTCCGAGGGGGTAGTCCAGCGGCGCCAAGGCTCCGTCGGTACTCACGGCAGCCTGGCAGATGCCTCCGGTCGTAGGGGGAATTGATGAAGAAGAGGAGTCGGTTTGGGGGGGGGGGTGCCCCCCGGGACTGGGCAATCGGAGGTTCTTAACGCGGCTTCTGCACGCAAGCGCGATCAACACCACCACCAACACCACCAACGCCGCCGCCGCCAAATCACCCCCTAGTAAGATGGCCGCCAAATCACCCCCTAGTAAGATGGCCGCCAGATCACCCCCTAAGTAAGATGGCCGCCCTATTACCAACTCAGCATCGGCGCTTAACCTTGACCAAGATGGCCGCACGCGCGTGCGAAGTCTTCCATTGGCGGCGCTTATGTTGACCAATGACGGATGTTTACACCCCCCCCCCTAACCCCGCCCCCCCCACTAAGGGGCTGTCCATAAATGACGTCACGCGATTTTGAACGATTTTTGACCCCCCCCCCCCACTTCGTCACAAGGCGTCACAAAAAGTCAGACCCCCCCCCTCAAATATGACGTCACAAAGCTCTGCACCCCCCCCCCCCCCAAAATAATGTGGCGCTGCACTCTGATGTAGGAGAAAACATTTATTAGAAATATTCTTAGGGTTTTTCGGTAAAGTCACGTAGGTAAAACATCAAAATTAATAAAAATTAATTATTAATTTTGATGTTTTACCTACGTGACTTTACCGAAAAACCCTAAGAATATGAATCCTTGCAGTCACGAAAGCTTCAAATCTAGAATTTATTAGAAAGTCGATTTAATTAAGTAGAACGTTTTAAAGCTTTCGTGACTGCAGGGATTCATCTTCTTGGTTCTTTCGGTAAAGTCACGTAGAAGGGAAATAAATAATAGAAATAAAACATCATAAAATAATATAATGTTTTATTATTTTATTATTTCCCTTCTACGTGACTTTACTGAAAGATCCAAGGTAGAACGTGTTGTCCATATTTATTTAAAGTTGCGCATTTTGATGTGACGTCAAATTTCTCAAACCCCCCCTTCCCCTTGTCAGACATCGTCACAAATGTCTGACCCCCCCTCCTAGGTGCGTGACGTCATTTATGGACGGCCTCTAACCCCGTGTAAGTTGGCTGAATATGGACGGGCAGAGGAGCTCCCACCCCCCCCCCCCCCCCCCCCCCATGCAAGATGACCTTCGCAATCCACAAATCCCTCCACCAAAAAGTCTCTCCTCATTGATCACACCAACCCACCTCCCCCCCCCCAATTCACAACTCACATCCCCCCAATCCCTTTACCATCCCACCCCCATTTATACCCCCCCCACCCAACTTTCCATCCAATTCACCCACTCACACCCCCCCCCCCCATTTTTACCTCCCAACTTTCCATCCCCCCCCCCACTCACAACACCCCCCATTTACACCCCCCCAACTTTCCATCATAACCCCTCACTCTCACTCCCCCCCCCCATTTATACCCCCCCCCAACTTTCCATCCCAATCCCCCCACTCACAACCCCCCCTCCCCCCTTTATACACCACCAACTTTTCACCCCCCCCCCCACATTTATACCCCCCAACTTTCCATCACCCCCCCCCAACTTTTCACTCCCCACTTTCCATTCCACCCCCACCACACTTTTCATACCCCCCCCCCCCCCACTTATACCACCCTCCCACTCTCCATCCCAATCCCCCACTCACCAATCCCCCCATCCCACTTAACCCGCCCCCACCCACTTCCCCTTGCATCTACGATGGGCGAGGCTGTGAGTGTGTGAGAGAGAGAGGAGGAGGAGAGGGGGGGGGGGATTTTTTTAAAATCGTTAAGAGATCGACCACGTGATCAGGCGCGCGCGCGCTCTCACACGCGCCTCGTCAAAATCCCCCCCCCTTCCTCCTCCCCCTGCGCGAGGGGGGTGGGTGGGTGGGGGTGTGGGGGACGCACGCGCGCGCGCTACCCGCGAGACGGTCAGGAAACCCCTCCCCCCCTCCTCCTCCCCCCCTCAGCCCCTCCCCCCCTGGCGCGAGCGGCTCTCGCGCGCCACCTCTTTGTGTTTTTTCCCGCCCTCGGCCGCTGCGCGCGCGCGCGCTCGCGCTCGCTCGGGCCCGCGCATGCGCACTGAGTGTCACGCGGCCGCCATTTCGCGAGAGCGCCTTCTTCCCCCTCTCGCCCATTGCCGCTGCCGCACTCGGTCCCCTCCCTCCCGCCGCCCTCTTCTTCATCTTCCTCCTCATCCGTCTTCCCCGCCACTTCGGCAAACGGCGTGCGGCGCAAACTCGACAAATCTGCGGTGGTGGCTGCGGTGGTGAGGGGAGTTGAGCGCCCACCGGCGGCGGCGGCGAGGAGGAGCCGAGGTGAGTGTTGCGACCGACAGCAGGGGGGGCTGGTCGCATGGCGGCGCCGCGGCGCGGTGGTGGTGGTGAGGCGCGGCGTTGTCGCGGCTTGCACGAGCGTGAGGCCGCCTCTAGGTGTCCTGCTGATATCGGCGGGCAGGCGCGAGAGACCACCAGCACGGCTACGTATATTTAAATATATTTCTGCCCCTCCGCTACGGCGAGCTGTTATTGTCGCTTCTGCCGCACAGGGGCAGAGTTATGTGTGGCGAGGCGGGTGCGTGCGTGCGTGGTTGACGCGGCCGAGGGCTGAGGCTGTGGTGATGATGATGATGTGGGGGGAGATGCCGAGCGGCTGTGGTCCGTCTCCCTCTCGCCGATTGTCGTCTTGCCCGCGTCTCGTTGCGTCTCTTCGTGCAAAAAAATCAAAATGGAGGCCGAGGCCCTTCTGGTCCCCACAAACAACAGCGGCAGGAGGAGGCGGTGGAGGTGGAAACTCCTTGGCCTCGACTGCCCGGGTCCACCAGCAGCACCCACCAGGGTTGCAACCTCTGCGGTGAACATCCACGGGTGGCCGTCTTTTAAAAAAAAATGTTTTAGTTTTGATGTTATAGACGAAATTTGGAAGAGTTTTTGTTTTGTCGTTGCAATGTTTCTCGGGCGCCATGTCGACGAGGTGGAGGGGAATTTGCTTGGAGGGTATTTGACAGCATTGTGGTTAAATTAGTGAATTGACACCATTGGAACCTTATTTGCCAGTATAAAAATATGATAATTGTTTTTTTACCCTTTTGTCTGGCAACAAAACTGACACCTTTTTTACAAGGAGTCATGTTTGCATTGACCACAGTACCTGCAGTCGGAATGCAAATAAAAAACAACTCTGGCAAAGGAGGTTCCAATGGTGTAAATGCTTACCCCGAGCTCTCACACTCTGATGGTGCATTGTCTTTGAGTTGTGCGCCTTTTGGCGTCATGTGGTCCAACACCATGTGAGACTACGCTCTAAGGAAAGCTGTCTCGGGTGTGGACCAATCAACTTCAAGGACAGTGCATACATTATCAGAGTTATGTGTTTTATTTGCATTCCGACTGCAGGTATTGTGGTCAATGCAAATATGACTCTTTGTAAAAAAGGTGTCAGTTTTGTTGCCAGATAAAAGGGTAAAAAACCAATTATATTTTGCTACTGGCAAAGGAGGTTCCAATGGTGTAAATGCTTACCCCGAGCTCTCATACCCTGATGGTGCATTGTCTTTGAGTTGTGCGCCTTTTGGCGTCATCTGGTCCAACACCATGTGAGACTAGGCTCTAAGTAAAGCTGTCTCGGATGTGGACCAATCAACTTCAAGGACAGTCATACATTATGTTTTTTTGTTTGCATTCCGACTGCAGGTATTGTGGTCAATGCAAACATGACTCCTTGTAAAAAATGTGTCAGTTTTGTTGCCAGATAAAAGGGTAAAAAAACAATTATCATGAGTGAATTGAGTTGGTGACATTTGAGACTTTAAATTTCACATGTCCCCCTTTTGTTTGGATAAAACCCCATTCGCAGCCGACGCGAGGTTGCGCCAATACATCGCGATACGATTGGAAACTACGCGGTTTAATCCGCGCCACAGCGACTTGGGCACAATTACCGAGTTTAATGAGCAGGGCCCAGGAGTGATGGTGGTGGCCTTTGGTGACCCACGGGTAAATCGGGACACAACATCGGGGCCGCGGGGGGGTGCTATAGAGATACAACACCAGGGCCTGCGGAGGGATTTGTGACCGTAGGGACAACAGTACGACTGGTGGAGGGCATTACCGTGGGTTTATGACAACACCATATCGTCAACACCTGGCATCCGTGAGCTGCCCCAGAGGGCCCCATGGTAGTGCATTTGAGAGTGCAGTCGCCTATAACGAGGCATCCCTTGGGTCCTTAAAATATCCCATGTGGAGACTGGCAGAGCCCCCAACACCTGGACCCTAGGGGTGCACCATATGCCCACTCGGAGACATACCCCCCCCCCCCCGCACATGTTACAATAAATACTGCTTTGCGCATGATGCTCAAGAATGCGCATTGCTGAGGATCGTCATGCCAACCCACACTGCACAGTGCGCATGAGAGCCCCCCCCCCAATACAGGGGCAGTAGCTGGGTTTGTTGAAGGTCTCGTGATGGCACCATGGCAGATCGTGCTTGGATTTGGGGGGGCTCAATATACAATTTTTTTAGCCCTCATACACAGATAGTATCAGTGTAGTACGGGTTTCGTGGAGAAACTCGGATTTATGTTTAACTCGGCGGTGTTGCTGTTCTGCAATGCACCGCACGATGAGCCCATTGAGCCGAGTTAGACTCTCGACCTCGGCTCCGCCTATTTCATCCTACGCTGGCCAGCGTGGCGAAATATGGTCAACATACCCAAACAAATGACTAACACGGTGTGTAGAGGCTTTCATCGCACAGTGGTTTGACAAGGATTTAATAGTCTTAATTCAACGTTTTAAACTACTTCTACAAAGTAACTCCACTGCTAATGTAAACGTTTTTTTAAAATCCTGTATTAAAAGGTTCTTGTAAAATAAAATAAAACACTTCTATTTAAAAGTAGAATAAACAAGTGTAGATTTGATTCCATGAAATCAAGTGAAACAGTGTACAGTCTACCAACTCAAGACTTGTGTCTTTGGGTAGACTCATGATTGCACTTTAAGGGTACAACCAGGGCCCGGAGTTAGCTCCATGATAGGACCACGTAGAGCCTATACCTTGTGGGGGTTACCCATAGTGAGGCAGCTCCATAATTAGTAAAAACAGGTTAAAGAAAAATCTGAATACTTATAGTGTTACATGCATTCACCCACAGTTTATGGACTGCCCCATATGGAGACAACACTCATGCCTGAGGGCTGCCCCATATGCCCACGGTGGGAAGATACACACGTCCCCTGTAAAATTACTGATTGTTACATGATGGTGATAAATATTCACTGTTCATCTCCATTACTGTAAACGCACACTACACTGAGAAGATGGTAGGGTGGGAGGAAGAGACACTCCCGTCTCCCGCCCCGGTTTTTCGTATCACATAGTGGGCACCATTTACTGTCCCTGCGGTTTTTAAATATAAAGTGCAGCTGACAGAAAACAAAGGTAATAATTTCGTGCCAGAAATAAGATTATTGTACTTGCATCGGTTAATTTCCTTACCCATAAGGCATCCGCAAATTGGGAAAGAAAAAAATTTACGTTGTCAATATCATGGGACCTCCTTTGTCAGTACCAAATATGAGAATAGATAATACATGCATATAATATTATCAGTGTTTTTTGTTTGCATTCTGACCACAAGTATTGTGGTTAATGCAGACATGATTCCTTGTAAAAGGATTTTTTTGCCAGAAAAAGGGGAAAAAAACCTATCCTAACATTGTCAATAGACGTGATGTTTTACTGTCTGCGCATTGTGATTTTGTATGACTTTGCTAACACAGGGTCTCCTGTCCCTCTGCTTTAGAATCTGGGGGGGGTGGGCCAATAGGAGCCGTGGCCGATGGCGAGCGAGGAGGTGGCAGAGGCCACACCCTCTGGCGAGGAGGAGCTGGACGGCTTCACTCGGCTGAAGGAAGGGGGGCCGCCTACCCAGGGCACGGGACTCGTGGATGATGACCCCACGTCAAACATACCCAAGAAGCCCGATGAGTCGGAGGTATGTAGGGGGAAGCCGCCAGCTCGCTGGGCCGATTTTAGTTTTATTTTGTGACTTACGTCACCCCACTGTATGCACTGCAGTATCATTTAGATTTACGAATGATATCTCAAGATTCTGTACAAAAAGGAAGGCCTCATTTGAATTATTCTTGCAGGATATCAGAGGTATCAGGTAGTTGAAGGCCATCATGGCAGAGCGAGAGAGAGGAGACAATTTGGTAAAGGGGCAAATTGAGCCTTCAAATAGAAGGGGACTCGGCCATGAATGTAAGTCTCAAGTTTAGACCTCGCAGAACAGAAGAATGGTCTTCACAATACAGACGACCATGGGGAGCAAGTTCCAGAGAGAGGAAGCATCAAGAGAGACAGTTGAGAGACCCTTTGTTGCACACGAGAAACAAATAAAACAATATGCAGGGAAAAGCAGCCGGGAGAGAGTCCATGAGGATAGGGACAGAAATAAGTATATTGTTTGCTTATTTATGTATTAATATTCTGCACATTAATGTTAAAGATTATTTTGTATTGCATGAGGATATGGATGTTGAACAATGAGGCCTATCATTTACTTGATGTGTTATTGGATATGGAGCCAGTGGAAGGGTATGAGGAGGGGGAATATACTTTTGTTTCCAGGTATGGGTGAAAGTTAAGTGGTTGCATTCTTGATCATTTGGAGTTTGGAGATGAGGATTTTGGCAGCCCATACAGAAGAGTTGTTAGTTAAGTTGACCAAGCTTTGTGAGTAAATTTAGTGCATGTGTAATATTTCAGTGTATTCTTTTTACTGTTTGATACATCCTGCTGAGTAAATGTGAAATTCCCTCCTAACTGATACATGCATTTGATTTTGAAGGATGGTGACCTGGACCAAGTGCCTCTGGTTTCAGAAGTGGCTCTTGCAGTGAAAGATGGCACTGAATCAGCAGGTGGCACTGTAGTTTCCGAGCCCGCTGACACAAACGCCAATGCCACGATTATGGACAGCGCCGAGGTGATCTCTATCGAGATGTCTCACATGGCCCCCGACATGATGGTTCACGTGATGATCGACGGTGCCTCCGAACAGATTGTCAACATGGCCGCCGACGTCACGGCTCCGGTGGAAGCCACCTCTGTCGACAGCGTTGCTGACGTAACAGTGGCTGACGTGACCGTCGAAGATGTGGAAATGAAGGATGAGACGCTGCCTTTCCATGCTGCTACAGATGGCGCCGAGGTGATTGAATTCATGGACACCGCTGCGGTGATGGACGTTGTGGAAGTCACGGAAGGGACGGAGGCAAAAGAGAGTGATGATGCCTTTGCCGATGCCGGATCGCTGAGGGTCCTGAGCGTGGAGACCATGGATACTGCCACATCTGGCATAGGTGAAGTGACGAATGTTTTAGAAACCAATTTTGCCACTGCAGTTGCAGATGATTCTATTGCCAGCAGCGCAGCCCAGCCTAAAGAGAACGACGATTCTGTACAGGAGATCTCCGCCGAGGGAGGTTTCACAGCCTACGTGGGCACTGCAGCAGATGCCGACGTCGCTACAAATGAACAGGGGTTCACAGAAAGAGACACCGGTGATGAAACCAACTCGGCTGAAGTCGACGCTGTTGTGGAGTCCGTTGACGTTAATGAGCTGAAAGCGGAAACGTCCGACACCACTGATGTCATCGCCGTCATCGTGGGCACAGAGATGACAAACGTGGCTGACGGCAGCAACACCAGTAACGCCGATACTGAAGTGGCAGCGACGACCAGCTCGGGCAATGGCTTGATTGAATCGTTGGAAGCAGGCGGAGTGGCTGGTGGTGCTACTGTTGTGAGTGTGTCCGGACCAGAGGACGTCGCGTTCGTGACAACCATAAGCGTGGCGAGTCCCCTGGACGTGAGCACTAGCGTGGCCAGCGTGACGGACGTGACTTCGGCGGCGCTGCGGGCCCTGCAGGCCGTGGCCTCGCAACACGTGGGTGGTGGGGCGAGCGCCTCCATCTCTGAGGACACACACATCATCACACTGCACCCAGTGAGCCTGGAAGAGACGGGAGAAGGAGGAGGAACCTCCATTGGAGAGATCACGCTCGTGCAGGTGCAGGCAGGTGAGCGTCAAAGTCAGCAGCTCGGGACCGCATTGCGCACTGGAGGCATTATGATTCGCCCACTTCCCTTCCAGAGATTCCATGCGTTGTTGTGATTCAGAGATGTTTGAATTCAGGAATACTAATTGTTTTACATTTTGGTAATTGCACGATTCAATTAATGCATAATGAACTTAAGAATTTATATTAGTCAATGTATCAATGCGGCTTTGCCTCTCCTGTCCCCACACATAACAATTCACTTAATGAAATCATATCGTGAATTTCAGATGGCCTAGACAAAAGCAAGTCGTTCCACGTGCAGTAGAGAAATGTGCTTGCAGACATCGCCGTAATGAGTGTTAAAAGCATGCGCACCTGTCTTGATAATACTCAACATGTACTTTGTGCATGTGGAGGTGGGGACGCGCCACAGGCTTCAGGCATCGTGACACAGGTGGTGCCCATGGAGAACCAGGGCCTGCTCACGGAGATGGTCCCCGTGGACCAGCAGGGCCTGGTGACCGAGGTGGTACCCGTGGAGAGAGGCATGCTCACCGAGGTGGTGCGCATCGGCGAGGACGGCACCGTAACTGTCACCGACGGGGAGGAGCTCACCGCAGACGGGCTCATGGCAGAGGTGGTGCCGACGGGTGTGTGCCGCACAGGTCATGGCGTTTTCTTGCGTCGCTCAGATACCAAGTTGACATTTAATGTTGCTAACGTTCTGCATTTGAACGTTACTTAGTCACGTCGCATGAATGAGTTTGTGTGGCTTGTGTGGCTCGTGTGTGCGGACAGGGGAGGAAGGGATAAACGAGGGAATCATCGCTCAGATCGTGCCGGTGCAGGAGGGGGTCGAGTCTGGTGGTGAGGGAGGCATCAGGTGAGTGCATGCCTCTGCTTACGCCACCATTTTCCATTGCGACATCAAGGGTGCATTTAACTTGTACATTCTAACTCTTATCGTGAAATTCATCGTCATAGCCATTTACCATGAGTTTTCTGGTGGTTCATGCAATGTCCTACAACTGAGCAGAGGTCGCAAACAGGTTTTGATTTCTTACCCGTACCCGGCCGCACCAGGGTCGCAAATGGGTACCCGTACCCGGCCGGGTACCCGTACCCGGCCGGGTACGGGTACCCGTTCCCTACCCGTACCCTACCCGAAATGAGTGACAAACGGTTACTCACCAGTGACTCACGGCCTACCCGTACCCGGCCGCACCAGGGTCGCAAACAACTACCCGTACCCGTACCTGGCCGGGTAGCCGGGTATCGGGTACCCGGTTGCGACCTCTGCAACTGAGTCAGCACTGCTGAGGTTGAGTTAGAATTTGGGAAACCAAGCGAGACTAAAGCGGGGGTTCTCAAGTGCAGTGAGTTAGTATTAGCCCGATTTACCAATGACTGGTCAAACAATCATCATGTACAACTTCAGCTTAACTCCAGTTCTGAAGGTAAAATCTGATTGACGTGAGATGTGCCAATAACGTGAATAGACTTGGTAAAGCATTTTCAAAACTGGTTGACTTATCTCATCTCTCATGGCTGTGCTCTGACAATATGGTGTGCACTGCTGCTACCAGAGTTCCTTATGAAAATGTCTTAATCTTTAACATGACACTGAAAAGCAATGTCTGATTGGGAGAAATTGTGCGTTTTAACACTTCTTTGATCGTGTCTGCATAGCCACACGCTGCCGCTGCCGGAGGGGGTGCAAGTGGTGAAAGTGGGGCCCAACGGGGAGCTGGAGGTGGAGCGGGCCCCGATGGGCTCGCAGGACGGGAGTGTTGACGGGGACGGGATTGGGTTGCTCATTACTGCCCCCGACCCTGAGGAACGCAGCAAGGAGAAGGACCCAGACTACCAGCTTCCCGTAAAGAAGCCTGTGCGGAAAGGGCGCAAGAACAAGCTGCGATACAAGGCAGGGAACCCTGCACGCAAACAGACATCTCTTTCGTGGCCTGCGCAAGGACGTGTCACTAACAGCCTCTTTAATTTAAACTGATTTCATCCGTGTTTCATGTTGAATTTGAAATCCAACTGACAATACATAACTGATGTTGGTAATTAATTCGATGGCACCAGGAGCTGTTTTTGATGTACCTCGTTCATACTGCCTGTATAAATATGTAATGGCTGATGGTTGATTTTGTGAAAGAATTAGCACCTGCCCAGGTTGTCTGAACATGACTCAGCACAGCTCCTTGCCATTTATGTAAGCTGAAGCCAGTTAATATCTGTCGGGTCTGAAAAATGTTCATAAATGCAAAAGTATGAAACTGGATATGGTCTTGGTCAACGGTTATTTCCCATTTGATTGAATCGGGACTTTTGTGGACAGCAGAGGGCAGTGCAGCAAAAGCCATTGTGCTGTATGTCCTTACCTTAAAAACACCTGCACTGACCAGCATGACGAATAATTATCAAATAACTCCTACAACCTGCATCGGTAGCCCCTCGTCTAGCAGTGGATTGACCCAAGGTTGCTGTACATGTTATTGAATTTAGTTTAAATTGCATCTGAACCTCGTGGGTTTGGGGGGCACCGAAGACACATGTCAATGTGTGAATGTGTACGTGTAACTGCTCCTGTATTAATGTAAGCATGTGTGCGTATGTGTGTTGGCGTGCACGTTTCTGTTTTCAGCAAGAGGCGGCCGACGCCGACATCTCGGTGTACGACTTTGAGGAGCAGGAGGAGGGGCGTCTGGTGAGCAGCCAGGACGTCGGCGTGGAGAAGGCGATCGCACCCAAGCCACCCAAGCCCACGCGCATTAAGAAGAAAGGTTCGCAACGCTTACACCCGACTTCTGCATGGATTACGCCTCGCATATAACTGGCCAGCAGACCGTATGGCACGGGGTATAACTAGCCTCTGATGGAATGGGAATACAAATTTCTGCTGAGGAGTATACAGGTCATTGGATATGCAAAAATTCATAGATCAAAGGCTATTTTGATATTCCTGATAAATGCTTTGAATTTTGTCTAAGAATAATAGGTTTCGATTTAAAGCTTTCGTGACTGCAGGGATTCATCTTCTTGGTTCTTTCGGTAAAGTCACGTAGAAGGGAAATAATAAAATAGTAATAAAATAATAAAAATCTAAACAATAAAATACAATTCGTGACTGCAGGGATTCATCTTCTTGGTTCTTTCGGTAAAGTCACGTAGAAGGGAAATAATAAAATAGTAATAAAATAATAAAAATAAAACAATAAAATACAATTCTCACTGTGAGAATTGTATTTTATTATTTCCCTTCTACGTGACTTTACCGAAAGAACCACCAAGATAAGAATAGGTTATTTGTCATTGAAGTAAATTATATTAGATTAACTTACTGAACATACTAAACAAAACTCTACATGAGATAAAAACAGAAACAATTAAAAGAATTTAAAATAAACAAAAAAATGTTGAATTGAATCGTCATTGAGCTGATGAAATCCGCTTGTAGGGGGATGTATCGATAGATGTGGACTCAGCAGCATATGTTGTCATCACTGTGTGTCCAGGAGCCAAAAAGACGTTCCAATGCGAGCTGTGTAGCTACACATGCCCACGCCGTTCCAACCTGGATCGGCACATGAAGAGCCACACGGACGAGCGACCACACTGCTGCCACCTGTGCGAACGCGCCTTCCGCACCGTCACGCTGCTGCGCAACCATGTCAACACGCACACCGGTACGTGCGAGCACAGGCAGGCTCTCGCGCACGGTCACGGCCACGCTGGGCCATCCGCCCACACACCAGAGGTCGCAAACAGGTTTTGATTCCTTACCCGTACCCGTACCTGGCCGCACCAGGGTCGCAAATGGGTACCCGTACCCGGCCGGGTACCCGTTCCCTACCCGTACCCTACCCGAAATGAGTGACAAACAGTGACTCACCGGTGACTCACGGCCTACCCGTACCCGTACCCGGCCGCACCAGGGTCGCAAATGGGTACCCGTACCTGGCCGGGTACGGGTAGCCGGGTATCGGGTAGGGTACGGGTATCGGGTACCCGGTTGCGACCTCTGCCACACACCGGTGTGACCATGTGAGCGCACGGGCTTTGATGAGATGTGCCTGCTTCCCGGTGCAATGTCTGCGTGTGTGCGCTGGTCGACTGCAGGCACAAAGCCGCACAAGTGCATGGAGTGCGACATGGCGTTTGTGACGAGCGGGGAGCTGGTGCGCCACCGCCGCTACCGGCACACCCACGAGAAGCCCTTCAAGTGCTCCATGTGTGACTACGCCAGCGTGGAGGTAGAGCCTGCGTGTGTCCCCTTTACCCGGGACAATGCCCTAAGTATTAAGTATCTGGGCAAAAGTTTATTTACTTAATTTCTAGACTAAGACACATGAGTGATGACCCTCCAGAATAGCTCCATTCTATTCTGATTATGCATCCCCATTTCAATTCGATCCATTGTCATGATTCATGAACCTGATTCGATTCAAGAACATACCTACGGACCTGCATGCGGATTTTGAAGGACTGCTTCGTAATGTTTATGTATCAAGGACCATCTCATATTCACATGCATTGCGGCTCTTGAAATATTGGGTTTTTACCGAATTTGAAAGAAAATGCTTTTCTTGTTTTTTTGGTTGTTGACCCCAGGGCCACATGAATTAAATATAATCGATTCTGATATGCACGATCGTATGCATGTGTTTTGAGTGCGCAATAATCTTTTTGATGTACAGTAAAACCTGATTATTTCGGTATTTCATCATTCATAATTGAGGATAATTCTGCATGGCTGCGCTTTGGCATATTTACAGTATTAGTCGAATTGCCATACCGAATGGTCCAATTTTGGCACACACGTGCAGCGATGCCGCACGCCACAACCAAAAACATGACTCAGTGTAGTGGTGGCGCGCGTCGTGAGCGTGAGTGCAGACCTGTTGCTTTGGACTTTTCCTTGTTTATGTGCAAGTCAACCCTCTCAGAAATGGATAGAATTGATGCAGGGTGTGTGTCAATGCGTATGGTGTGAGAAGAGTTTGGAAAACAAATTTCGATCTCCTTTTGGGGCAGGAAGCACTGGGGAGTACCATTTGTACATAATTTGGAATATTGGATAATTTGGCAAGGCTAGAGCCCCATATGTGTCGAATCAACAAAGGTTTACTGTATCATGAAATTATGTATCTTGGCATTCCCCGTAATGGCTAGACTGGTGTACTACCTGCCCTCTCATGTTGCCGCAGGTGAGCAAATTGAAGCGCCACATCCGGTCGCACACAGGCGAACGCCCTTTCCAGTGCGGCCTGTGCAGCTACGCCAGCAGGGACACCTACAAGCTCAAGCGCCACATGAGGACCCATTCCGGTACGGACGCTCATGCCCATCCCCTCCCACCTTCCTGGGGAGACGTGGCAGCTGCCACCTCTAATGTGACTGCCTTCCACAATAATGTCAATGCTTTCCTTGGAAAATGTGGGTGCAGTTGCTTCTGATTGTTTCTATTACAGTTTTTTTATCCAATTAGAATTATGAGAAATTATTCAGTTTACATAAACGTTGTAATATATTCTTATTAACTATATTATTCACTGTGTCCTAAGTGAATTTAAAACGGTTAAGGATATGTACATAATCTGTTCTTGAGCGGGTACTTGTATTTCAGGGATATGTAATGTTATATCTGTGCTGTAGATTTTTAAACCCTTGAACGTGCACTTTTTCATTGAATAATATCCTGATGAGGATTTATAATCAAATTGGGATTACTTCATGTGCATTTGACCGGTTGGGGTTGATAAAAGTAATTAATTTAAGAAGCAGACGTGAATGTTGTAGAGGAGGAAGGCCTTACTGAATTAACAGTGCAACGGTTGGCCATGCGTTCGTGCGTGCAGGCGAGAAGCCCTACGAATGCCACGTGTGCCACGCGCGCTTCACTCAGAGCGGCACCATGAAGATGCACGTACTGCAGAAGCACACGGACAACGTGCCCAAGTACCACTGCCCGCACTGTGACGCCGTCATCGCGCGCAAGAGTGACCTCGGTTAGAAACTACCGCACCGCAGTCACGCACCACACGCTGCCTATGGCTATCGCCAAATCATCCGAAGTGTCCCCCACTTGCCAGGTCTTAAGGCGGGTTGAGCTTGGTACATACGTGAATGGGAGACTGGCAGGTGTTGTAGGCTTTGGCAGCGAGATGTTGAGATGGCGATGTTGTGGTCGCCCCCTCTTATGCTTAAACTTTCTCCAGGAAATCCAGTTTCCTCACACGTGGGAAATACTCACGAATGGATTTGAACAAATATACCAATTGCAAGAACCATTGAGGCTTTTCTGGGTAAATAAATGTTAAAGTTGTTTTTACCAGCTCAGTGTGGGTGCCTCTTCCCCCATTAAAAACGTAGGAGCATGCTCAGCGATGCAGTACGCTGAAACGAGGGGTCGTAATGCCTCCTGCTGTGACGAGCGTGTTTGGAGGTTATTTCTGCTGTTCCTTTTTGTTATTATATTTTATCATTACTCTTGTTTACCCAGGAAAGCCTCACTGAGTCTCAAGACTTTTTCAGGATGGCCATGCCAAGTGTTTTATCATTACTCTTGTTTACCCAGGAAAGCCTCACTGAGTCTCAAGACTTTTTCAGGATGGCCATGCCAAGTGTTTTATCATTACTCTTGTTTACCCAGGAAAGCCTCACTGAGTCTCAAGACTTTTTCAGGATGGCCATGCCTAGTGTTTTTGTTTCGCAGTATGGGGCGATGTTGATGTGTAATGTAGATATGCGCTGTGTATGTATGTTGAACTTTGTACGTAGCCAACTGTGCTAATCGGTTAGCTAAGTAATTTGCAGATAATTTTTCAGTATTGGGATGCTTTCGTCAATACCAGTACCATTATAACTCAGAAGAAAACCATACGAAACAGGGGGAGAACATATGAACTCCACACAGAAAAGCACCCGAGTTGGGAATCGAACCTTTCTTGGTGTGAGACCACGAGTGTTATCACTGCGGCCATGCCTGTCATTCTGTTGATTAAATTGCTGTGATGACAAGAACTTATTCCTGTCCCAACCCCGGGCTCCCATCCAAAAAACCCTCACCATCTCTTTAGGTGTTCACCTCCGCAAGCAGCACGCGGTGCTTGAGCGCGAGCTGAGGTGCCGCTACTGTCGCGCCATCTTCCACGAGCGCTACGCCCTCATGCAGCACCAGCGCACGCACCGCAACGAGAAGCGCTTCAAGTGTGACCAGTGCGAGTACGCCTGCAAGCAGGTGAACGCCACCACACACCAACCCCCCATCACCACACATCGCGCTGACTCTTTGTTTCCGTGCGCAGCTCACGCTTGCGGTGGTGTCACAGCAGGGGCATTATTACCCCCGAGTCAAGTGGTCGGCAACCAAAATAATAAGAAAAGACATTTTTGTTGGGAATTTGGTACAACAAAAATTGTCAATCCTTGGAAATATAAGACAGTCCTTAATAAATAACGTTACAAAACAGTCCTTAAAAGCCGAATTTGGCTCTTCCAGAGCCGCAGGTTGCCACCCCTTGCCCACCTCAAACCTAGCGACGGCATTCTAACCTTGTACCACGTGTGCGTGCTGGTGTGGTCTGTGTGTTGTGTCTGCTGGTGCTTTCGTCTGACAACTAGGAGCGACACATGATCATGCACAAACGCGTGCACACCGGGGAGAAGCCATTTGAGTGCACGCTCTGCGACAAGACCTTCCGCCAGAAGCAGCTCCTCGACTTCCACTTCAAACGCTACCACGACCCCAGCTTTGTGCCCACCACTTATGAGTGCAGCAAATGCCACCGCAACTTTACTCGCAGGGTGAGTGAGCAAATGGAACGTGTGCGCTGCCACGGCTGGGTCAGCCTCGCTGTTGCAGAGATTGGCCCTCGTTGAAGCTGCATTGTCTCAGTCGCGTGTGTATGTCTTGTATACCTGAGGTTGCTGTTGTTTACTTGGCGTGGTGAATTGTGCCGACTGACCTGACCCCATTTGACAATTTTGTGGGATGGCTTGCGTTTGCGCAGAGCACGATGATGAAGCACTTTGACATGTGCGATGGAGAGCTGGAAAGTGGCGAGCAGAACGGCAAGGCTCGGCGCGGGCGCCGCCGGGGGCGCAAGCGCAAGATGCAGTCTCGCAAGCACGGCTCGTCGAGCGGTGAGATGCCTCGCACTGACAGGCGGATTATTAATGCCCTGGGATTTGCATGCCTCTCCGTATTTTATCTCGAAGTTTATATATTCACCTTGATGCCTCTTCCCAGCGGATGTTAGTGCTGCGCTTTACTCTTGACGTTCTTCTCGCCACTTGTAAATCAGAGTCGGATGAAATGCCCACGGACGAGGATGAGGAAGAGGAGGAGCTGAATGAGGAGAGTGTGGAAGTAGCGGATGAGGAAGTGGAAGAGCCAGAGCCGCCCCCCATGAAGCGGCGCCGTGGCCGCCCTCCCAAGGCCAAGCCAGGCCGCCCCGCCAAGAAGGTGGCTGGCTCAGGTGAGTGAGTGAGCGAGCGGGGTTCTCGGAGCGATCGATCGCCTGTGGTGAGGGCTAGCGGGCACTGATCACAACCACAAGTTGAATCTCCTCCTCCGAGATGGTGACCTCCACAGGCATGCACTGCCTTGAAGAAAGTGCTTTGTGAGCATATCTCTCGGGTTAGCCCCTTCCACTCATTGTAGTCGCACAATGTGTTTTGTGTCCACTAACCTGTGTCAATCGAGTGGTGCTTCAAAACACTTATATTGTGTGTAAAAGTCTATGCATTTGGGCCAATTGAAGAAATATAACACTGCATCTTGCAGGCATTTTTGGCACGTAGTAAAGAATAATTGAAAATTGCAGTGTTGTGCTGACTACAGTATAAATAAAGATTCTGATTTTGTAATGTCTCGCAGAATGATTTCCTATGGGGACCAGTATTTTTTGCACCGTTTGAAGTGTGCGCCCGTGCATATTTGTTTCAGCAGAGATCAAGACGGAGCCAAAGACGGAGCCCACAGACTTGGACTCCACTATAGACAGTGTGGCCTGCGGCATCATCGAGATCATCCCGGTGACGGTGGGCGGCCCCGATGGGCCTGATGACGACGAGGAGGAGGAGGAAGAGGAGGAGGCGGCAGATGGCGAGGAGGGGGGTGAGGGGGAAGAACAGGAAGAAGAAGAGGAGGAGGGGGGCGCGAAAGAGCATGTGGTGGTGTTGGCTGTTGAGACGGCGGCAGACGAGGGGCCCAAAAACGACATCACGCCCGAGATGATCCTGAGCATGATGGACCAATGAGTGGTCTCGCATCGCAGCGGGTAAACTAACTAAACTCCACTCTTGATTGATATGCCCAACCAATCCCGGGCTTCCCACTGAGGTTTGAGAAAAGTGTGTCCAACCAGCAGTTGGTGAAGTTAAACTTTTTTCCATGCAATTCACGTGACATGCGCCCGCTGGGCAGTTGTGATGGGGGGGGGGGGGAATTCTTGGAAAGCCTGGGCCGGTAGGATGCGCGAATGGAAGTGGGTGTTTAATTGGTTCGGTGGGTGGGGGGGGAGGTTCACAGTCCGAGTGGTTTCTCGTGACATGGACGAGATCGCGTGCAAAATCAAATGCAGAGTTCGACAGTGGCCGTCGCCTGCGCGCATTGTATTTTTCACCTAGCGGATCTTTCTTTGTGTAACGTTATTTCTTTGGGAAAATGTAACGTTTTTTTTAGGCGTCGTGCGGAAACGTAACGTAGCGGTGGTACTTTTGCAGCCTTGGTGTTTTCACGAGGGGAAAGAGGTTTTTCTGCCGTGAGAAGACTGTTTCACGGCGAGGGCTTGTGTAACGCACCCCGTCCGTTACCCACAACCTTTTCCAACACCCTTTCCTTACTGTAGAGCATCGCCGATTTACATTTAGCTTTCACACCGTCCATTGCTGTTAGATGTTGGGCACAGCTCTGATGGGGTTTTTTTTATTCTGCACAAGTTGGAGATTAGTAAAGGGAGGTGCCTGTAACTTTGGCCATGACGTGGTTTGTTCCAAACAGCAAAATGATGGTTTGTGTTGTTTAAGGTCGTGGTTTAGCTATGATTTTCTAATATTCAATGACAGTACTGAGTTTATAGTTAAACACTTAATTGTTAGTATTTTTCTTTATTTGCCCATAATGACCGCTATTAAAAAGATTCAACACATTGTACTAGAAAGTGGTGAGAAGCCATGGATCTGAGTTTAGAATAATGTAATGAAGATAGTGGTTTTAATAACAGAGCATAGCTTTGATAGGAAGCCTCACTTTTCGAATGTAAAAGTGTTAATTGATTCTGAACGAATAGCTGATTAATTTCAGAGTAGAATTATGCAAAAGGATATGATAATCGATACGAAGCGTAGTTTGTGTTGTTTGAATGTGAACGGTCACATTGTCGCATTTTTATTACTCTGAAATCTTTTTAAGGCAGGTGCTTTTTTACCTTTTTCGCTTACTTTTCCATTTTATAATATAACAAAAATGTTGAAAACATTTCCGGTGCATGGTGTCACCTTGTACATGATTCGACACAGACCTTGATGCTGGTAGGCAGTGCTGAAGCAATGTTACAGGCCGGTTTCGACAACCAAACGCTTTTGCTTTATTCTTTGCTCTGAAGTGCTGCCCCCCTCCACCTGCCCGCCGCCCCCCCAAGCTGTCCTGGACTGGTTCATCCATATGCTGAGGACTGACTTGATGTTGGTTGCGCACGTGCATTTTCAAGGAATTATTTGATTTTAAGCTCCACATTGTGCATTGAAAATAGCCTGTGCGCTGGGTTGCTGACTGCAGGATGCAGTCGTTAGGTCCAATGTGAATTGCATGGAAAAACGTAAATTTTGTCATACCCTAAGGGAGCAATCCTGCAAAGCTGAAGTGATATTTTTTCTGGGTAGTGTGGAGTTTATACGGATGGGTGTTTGGCATGGATTGGTGGTGGGGTGGATCGGGTGGTGGTGTACGATGCCGTCACACGGCACGGTGGCCCCGGCGCAGGGCAAAGGGCCTGCATTGTGTGGAACTCGTTGGGTCTTCGAGTCACGTAGGAACAATGTGAAGCCGTGAGCCAGCTGTGCTGTTCAGACTTGAGTTGGAAATCCGTCGGGCGAGGACAACGCTCTTTTGTATGTAACTTGTTCAGAAATGACCACTGTATGCAGGTTTTCAATAAACAGGTCACAAGTATATCAACAGCTGTTTGTTCTCATTTCATCTGCGGGGGAAAAAAATGAACCCGAAAAAACAAAGTTTTTTGGCGGCTAGAGTCCTCTCGTCCTCTGGCTTGAGATGGCTGCCACCTATGGGTCAGATGATTGCCTGCCACCATTAAGCAATTGGTAATTAAATATTTAAAAAAAATTTCCTAAAAAGTGTAAAGTTATGGAAAAAAAATTTTTCACGAAAATAAATTGTCACGCACAACGAGTCTGTGTGCAAAATGTCAGCTCGATTGGATCACGGGAAGTGGGTTAAAAAACGACCGAAAGATTTGCACGGTCGTAAGCGCGCAAGCAAGCAATTTAACTTAATATAAAGGATTTAAAAAGGGAAGGTTGGTGAGAGAACAGGAGGTGGCCAACCGCCATCACCACTTCCTGCAATGTTCACCTGTGTGCCCACTTATTCTTGATTAGTTTTTACATTTTATTACACCTCAGGTATTACATTGCAGAGACTAGAATACACTTAAGAGCAGTTGTGCGATGCCAAACTACGCTATCATTAAATTATTAGCTGAATCTCATCACGCCAAATGGACCAGCAGCCGGCCAGCACTACTGTGCAGCTTGGCGTCCCCTACCACCTTGAGTGATGAGTCGCAGAGGAACTTGAGTAAGAGACCTGGCCAACTCACACCTCGTATTCTGTGGGACCTTTTTAAAGGGGCCCCATTCCTTTAAAAATGTATCCTCTCATTCCAATGGTGCCCATTGGTAACTTATACAGCAGTACATTACCCTCGTGTGTTGGAGAACAGGCCCACAAGAGGTAGGTACGTTGGACTTCTTTTGCACCGTATGTAGCCATCAGTGCTAATCGGAGGTGCCCTACCCTTTTAGCATTCCGTGTTTTGTGTGCAACTGACGTTTTTGTTTCATTCTTAAGAGCTGTAATATAGCCAAATTAAGTGAAAAAAAATATTCGAATTTAATTGGATGGGTTTTCATACAATCATTGGTCACCAGCATGAGCCCGAGATAATGTGACTCCATTAAATGTGTTATTGTCTTTCCCCCCTTTCCTTAAATGGCTTTGTCAGTCATTACTGCCTTTTGAGTTATAATTCACGTAAGCGTCTCTAAATGTGTCCACATTTGAAGGCTGCAAAAAGCAAGGCTGGCTTATTTGGAGTGGGGACGTGGCCTCGAGGTCGTGTGTTCGCCGCCTGTTGCAATGTTTGAATCCGGCAAGGTCGCTCTGGTTTGTCCTGCGGGTGTATTCGCCGTACGAATGAATGCACGCCGTTCATGTGACAGTGGACGGTGAATATCCTATGATTCCAAGAACACAGGATGAGATGTTACTATCCTTTGTGCAAGCACTTCCAAGAGTTCATGAACATTGAGCCTGGTGAAATTTGGGGAGCCCATCGTCAATAGGGTACCTTTGGTTCCTAGGGTGTTTCGGCCTTTCACACTATACACCCTCCCCAAAGGCGGCCAGCGACAGGGTGATCAATCCTACGCTTGCGTCCCATGCCCAATTAGTCATAGGAGTTGCCTTTTTGTTGATAGCCAACATCCCATGATGTCATTCGAAATTAGTAGGCCATCGTGTGCAGGTACATTTTTAAACACCGGAAAATGTTTGATCATAACGTTAGCCACAATTGGCCTTGCTCAAAAGACATCACGGAATATTTACCGTCCACCGTGAATATTTTACGGTTAGTACACCCGCAGTAATTACCAGGGCGGACACCGGGTGCAAACCGCGAACCTCTGCTTCAAAAGGTGAACGCACGCCGGATGGGCCATGTTACCGCTCGCAAAGTGATGTCGGGCGAGATGAGAGTTGAGTGTGCTTGAGTCCATGGGCGATTCTGAGGCATGTGAAGGCATCAGTTAATTTTGTACAGCGGTCGAGTAAACAAAATGTTTGTGTAGTGACAATTTAACCGAGTTACGCCGTGTGAATTTGGAATCTTCACGGTCGATGCACAACAATTAACACTACTATGTACGGTGCGAAAGAAGTTCAACAGTGTAAACATACATAATCCGCATGACTGCGTGGTCGTGTCGCTGTTAATCATTTACAACAATGATAATACTGCACTGTACACAGAATCATAATAAACGATAATTGAATACACGATTACAATTTACAAGCCCGACGCCTGCATCACCACTGCGTGTCCGCTGTGACACGTGGATGACACGTGGATGAAACATGCACATTGACAAGGAAAAGCGTGGAAAGCATTTCAATAAACATGAAACGTTGGTCCAACGATTCTGAGTACGTCCGAACACTGCGCGTTTGCCGGCATGGAAGGTGCACGCTTGGCATTACGCTGAGAGACGGGAAGTGGAACACGTGGATCAGATAAGATATGCCAGTTGCGGATATTGATAATAATACTGGTAGGAACCTCCTGGTTACACCAGCCCACAGGGGATTATTGTGTCCGTCCGTCGTGCAGGGAGGGGTTGGGTGGGGAGGGGCTGGGTGGGGTGGGGAGGGGCTGGGTGGGGTGGGGAGGGGCTGGGTGGGGTGGGGTGGGGAAGGAGGGGCCGGGTGGGGGGTGGGGAGGGGCCGGGTGGGGAGGGGCCGGGTGGGGGGTGGGGAGGGGCTGGGTGGGGAGGGGCCGGGTGGGGAGGGGTTGGGTGGGGAGGGGCTGGGTGGGGAGGGGCTGGGTGGGGAGGGGCTGGGTGGGGTGGGGAGGGAGGGGCCGGGTGGGGAGGGGCCGGGTGGGGGGTGGGGAGGGGCTGGGTGGGGAGGGGCTGGGTGGGGAGGGCCGGGTGGGGGGTGGGGAGGGGCTGGGTGGGGAGGGGCTGGTCACCCCGTGGTGCCCTTATAAAACTCAACGTTTAACCTACTCACGCCGGCTTGTGCCCGCCCTCACACTCGGGCATATTTGCGGAATACACCACGCCGCCGTTGACCCTGCAGGCCATTGACCGAGCAACCCAACGTTCCTACCAGCTCCCTCCGCAGGAATGTGTTTAAGAACCGTGAGTTTAGGCTGGATATTGTCAAAGGCTATTGCGAGCTCCCTCCGATTAGCACGGTTGGCTACGTACGGCGCGAAACAAGTTTAACATGCGTCGCCAGCATTGGCCACTAGTAACATCCATTATTGTGCTGTACTTGTGCTCCAGTGTCTATATAACAACATCTTACAATGCCAAACGAATTTTGTTCAGAGCTAGCTTGGCCCTGATCTCTGAGAGAATTAGACTGCTCCGCACTGAACTGGATCATGTAGACAAGACACTCGAGAAATCACACTTAACATTGACAGAAAAAATTGTATACATCTGATTGGGAACATGTAGATAACATGACCGCTTCATCAGCCGATACAATTTCAGCTAAATGTAAAGATAATCTGATTTCCAAGTTCAACCTCCTTTCCAAGTAGAAACCAGATCCACACATTAAAAAGTTAGATGTTGACAAGGTTGTTATTAATCTGAGTAACAGCCCAATTTCCGATGGTCTAAAGTCGGTTTTGGCTAAAGCATTGAACTTCGCAGTCACCTTCAAACACATACCAGTGGATGATATTATTGCCCAGGTCGATGTAGCTCTTCAGGGTTTCGGACACATCGCTGCATACGTGACAAGATATGAAATCGCTGCAACCCTCAAAAGCGCTAAGATACCAGTCAGCAACATCAGTAAGGATGAGCGCTTTCAGTTATCTCAATTAAAAAAGAGGGAAGATATCGTCATCCTCTCAGCCGACAAGGGCAATGCCACGGTCATCATGGATAAAAAGTATACAATAACAACATTCAGGACCTACTTAATGATGGTGGCTACACAAATTAAGATCGATCCAACCAACTGCCTCGTTACAAAAACGAACAGTATCATCACTAATTCAGCTTCATTGATTGAACAGACCAAACGGGTTTCCTTAAAACCTTCTGCTGCTCGACCACCCAGACTATATGGCTTACCAAAAATCCATAAAGAAGGTACACCCCATTGGCTCACCTCGCAGCCATTCACTGGTAAGACCACCTCTTCTGTTCTTAACTCAGCTCACCTGGTATCGTCAATTAAAGACATCTCACTGTCCCCAGGTGATTTTCTCGTTAGTTTCGATGTATGGTGTGAATTGGTGTGAATTGGTCTGTAATAAGGTAGGGAGGGCACTGATCTGGCATTCACAGTTATGGTGGTGGTGATGGTGGTGATGATGATGGTGGTGATGATGACAGTGGTGATGATGATGATGATGGTGGTGGTGATGGTGGTCCATTACCTGCCAACCCATACGGTTTACCCCGTATTCTTGTACAGGGAAATGTAGTTTTCAGGTCCACATGGCGTACAGCCGTTTGGGGTGACCAATCAGTCTGAATTGGTCTGTAATAGGGTAGGGCACTGATAAAGGCTTGACAGGTATGTATAGTAGTGTATAGTGTAGTGTATAGTGTAGTGTATAGGATGAACGTTGATATGTATGAGTACGGGGTGACCAATAAGGTCTGACTTGGTCTGTAATAAAGTAGGAATTATACTTCTAGATTTGAAGCTTTCGTGACTGCAAGGATTCATATTCTTAGGTTTTTTCGGTAAAGTCACGTAGGTAAAAAATTTACATTAAAATGAATAAAAGTAAAATAAAACGTCGTGACTTTTATTTTATTTTAATTAAACTTTTATTAATTTTAATTAAAATTTTTTACGTGACTTTACCGAAAAAACCTAAGAATAGGAATAATACTCTTCGTTCTTTTCGGTAAAGTCACGTAGGTGAAAACAATAAAATTAAAATAAAACAACTAAATTAAATCACGACGTTTCGGAAGCAACACAAGCATCCGTCCTCAGGTGTGACTGCTCCAGCAAAATTACTGGAGCGTACATTAACACCTGATGACAGATGCTTGTGTTGTTTCCGAAACGTCCAACCCAGCTTAAATATACGCTCCAAGCTTGGTGGTGTTTCATTCTTCACCTGAGGACGGCTGCTTGCGTTGTGGCCGAAACGTCGTGAGAATTATTTTATTGGTTTCTTTTTATTATTTTATTATTTCCCTTCTACGTGCCTTTACCGAAAAAACCAACGAGTATGGATCTTAGCAGTCACGAAAACTTAAACTCTAGAAGGTAGGAATTGATAACGGGTTGACGGGTATAGGCAGATGCACCAGCTGTGCCTCCATGGCCATACATCCCCACATTCACCAACCAGCAATGAATAGGGTGAAGAAATCATGTCAAATGCATTTCCACGGCAGGCATAGCGTGGGGAGATGGCCATTCATCCAGCAGTGGAAGTCGGACACGTGGCCTCAGCACTGTGTAGCAGAGGTCGCAAACGGGTTTTGATTCCGTACCCGGCCGCACCAGGGTCGCAAATGGGTACCCGTACCCTACCCATACCCGTACCCTACCCGAAATGAGTGACAAACGCTGACTCACCAGTGACTCACGGCCTACCCGTACCCGTACCCGGCCGCACCAGGGTCGCAAACGACCGGGTATCGGGTACCCGGTTGCGACCTCGGCTGTGTCGGCACCGATGCAAGTGTGCCATCCTGTCCGCCAGGCGGTGCTCGAGTCACGGCTGTCTGCATCACCCAAGGCGTGTTTGGGGCCGTCCATAAATGACGTCACGCGATTTTTGACGATTTTGAACACCCCCCCCCCCTCGTCACACGGCGTCACAAAAAGTCAGAGCCCCCCCGCTTCAAATATGACGTCACAAAGCTCTGCCCCCCCCCCCCCCCAAAAATAAAACATGCTTCAAATCGCTTTAAACTATTGTCATTGTAGTGCGTATTTAATGCGGCGCTGCACTCTGATGTTGTAGGAGAAAACATTTATTAAAAAGTCTATTTAATGAAGTAGAACGTGTTGTCTATGTTTATTTAAAGTTGCGCATTTTGATGTGACGTCACATTTCTCACCCCCCCCCCCCTCGTCACACATCGTCACGAATGTCTGACCCCCCCCCCAGGTGCGTGACGTCATTTATGGACGGCCCATTACAGTCGAAGCGACTCACATCACATCTCTCTCACGTGTATCCATACACAACGGAGGGGGGTGGAGGGGCGGGTGGAGGGGAGGGGCGGGTGGAGGGTGGGGGGGCGGGTGGGGGGGCGGGTGGTGGGTGGAGGGGCGGGTGGTGGGTGGAGGGGCGGGGCGGGCGGGAAAAGTGGGCGTGGCGGACGGGGGAAGTGGGCGGGGCTGGAAAGTGGGCGGGGCGGGGGAAGTGGGCGTGTCTGGTGACGTCATCACCAAAGCACGTGTGCAGCCCCGGGGCGGCACCACAACTCAGGCGCTGGGGACTCAGGGAGGTCCCGTTACTCCTGAGCAGGACTCGACGGGACTCCTGGCGGAGGGGGGGTCCCTCACTCGTCGTCTCCTGGAACCAGAGACGGGACCAAGGGGGGCCATGGCGGAGGAGGAAAGCGCAACCTCAGGTGAGGGCTCGTGGTGAGAGGGTGGGTGAGGAGCTGTGTGGTGAGTGTGTGTGGTGAGGGTGGGTGAGGGGGGTGAGTGTGTGTGGTGAGGATGGGTGAGGAGCTCTGTGGTGAGGGCTCGTGGTGAGAATGGGTGAGGGGCTCTGTGGTGAGTGTGTGTGGTGAGGGTGGGTGAGGGGCTGTGTGGTGAGTGTGTGTGGTGAGGATGGGTGAGGAGCTCTGTGGTGAGTGTGTGTGGTGAGGATGGGTGAGGAGCTGTGCGGTGAGTGTGTGTGGTGAGGGTGGGTGAGGAGCTCTGTGGTGAGTGTGTGTGGTGAGGATGGGTGAGGAGCTCTGTGGTGAGTGCGTGTGGTGAGGATGGGTGAGGAGCTGTGTGGTGAGTGTGTGTGGTGAGGGTGGGTGAGGAGCTCTGTGGTGAGTGTGTGTGGTGAGGATGGGTGAGTAGCTCTGTGGTGAGTGTGTGTGGTGAAAATGGGTGAGGAGCTGTGCGGTGAGTGTGTGTGGTGAGGGTGGGTGAGGAGCTGTGTGGTGAGTGTGTGTGGTGAGGATGAGTGAGGGGCTCCGTGGTGAGTGTGTGTGATGAGGGTGGGTGAGGAGCTCTATGGTGAGTGTGTGTGGTGAGGGTGGGTGAGGAGCTCTGTGGTGAGTGTGTGTGGTGAGGGTGGGTGAGCAGCTCTGTGGTGAGTGTGTGTGGTGAGGATGGGTGAGGAGATCTGTGGTGAGTGTGTGTGGTGAGGATGGGTGAGGAGGGTGAGTGTGTGTGGTGAGGATGGGGGAGGAGCTCTGTGGTGAGTGTGTGTGGTGAGGGTGGGTGAGGAGCTGTGTGGTGAGTGTGTGTGGTGAGGATGGGTGAGGAGCTCTGTGGTGAGTGTGTGTGGTGAGGATGGGTGAGGATCTCTGTGGTGAGTGTGTGTGGTGAGGGTGGGTGAGGAGGGTGAGTGTGTGTGGTGAGGATGGGGGAGGAGCTCTGTGGTGAGTGTGTGTGGTGAGGGTGGGTGAGGAGCTGTGTGGTGAGTGTGTGTGGTGAGGATGGGTGAGGAGCTCTATGGTGAGTGTGTGTGGTGAGGATGGGTGAGGAGCTCTATGGTGAGTGTGTGTGGAGAGGATGGGTGAGGAGCTCTGTGGTGAGTGTGTGTGGTGAGGGTGGGTGAGGAGCTCTGTGGTGAGTGTGTGTGGTGAGGATGGGTGAGGAGCTCTGTGGTGAGTGTGTGTGGTGAGGATGGGTGAGGGGCTCTGTGGTGAGTGTGTGTGGTGAGGGTGGGTGAGGATCTCTGTGGTGAGTGTGTGTGGTGAGGGTGGGTGAGGAGCTCTGTGGTGAGTGTGTGTGGTGAGGATGGGTGAGGGGCTCTGTGGTGAGTGTGTGTGGTGAGGGTGGGTGAGGATCTCTGTGGTGAGTGTGTGTGGTGAGGGTGGGTGAGGAGTTCTATGGTGAGTGTGTGTGGTGAGGATGGGTGAGGAGCTGTGTGGTGAGTGTGTGTGGTGAGGATGGGTGAGGAGCTGTGTGGTGAGTATGTGTGGTGAGGATGGGTGAGGAGCTCTGTGGTGAGTGTGTGTGGTGAGGACGGGTGAGGGGCTCTGTGGTGAGTGTGTGTGGTGAGGATGGGTGAGGAGGGTGAGTGTGTGTGGTGAGGATGGGTGAGGAGCTCTGTGGTGAGTGTGTGTGGTGAGGATGGGTGAGGAGGGTGAGTGTGTGTGGTGAGGATGGGTGAGGGGCTCTGTGGTGAGTGTGTGTGGTGAGGATGGGTGATGAGGGTGAGTGTGTGTGGTGAGGGTGGGTGAGGGGCTCTGTGGTGAGTGTGTGTGGTGAGGGTGGGTGAGGAGCTGTGTGGTGAGTGTGTGTGGTGAGGTTGGGTGGGGGGCTCTTTGGTGAGTGTGTGTGGTGAGGGTGGGTGAGGAGCTGTGTGGTGAGTGTGTGTGGTGAGGGTGGGTGAGGATCTCTGTGGTGAGTGTGTGTGGTGAGGATGGGTGAGGAGCTCTGTGGTGAGTGTGTGTGGTGAGGGTGGGTGAGGATCTCTGTGGTGAGTGTGTGTGGTGAGGGTGGGTGAGGATCTCTGTGGTGAGTGTGTGTGGTGAGGATGGGTGAGGAGCTCTGTGGTGAGTGTGTGTGGTGAGGATGGGTGAGGAGCTGTGTGGTGAGTGTGTGTGGTGAGGATGGGTGAGGAGCTCTGTGGTGAGTGTGTGTGGTGAGGATGGGTGAGGAGCTCTGTGGTGAGTGTGTGTGGTGAGGATGGGTGAGGAGCTCTGTGGTGAGTGTGTGTGGTGAGGATGGGTGAGGAGCTGTGTGGTGAGTGTGTGTGGTGAGGGTGGGTGATGAGCTCTGTGGTGAGTGTGTGTGGTGAGGATGGGTGAGGAGCTGTGTGGTGAGTGTGTGTGGTGAGGGTGGGTGATGAGCTCTGTGGTGAGTGTGTGTGGTGAGGGTGGGTGAGGAGCTGTGTGGTGAGTGTGTGTGGTGAGGGTGGGTGAGGAGCTCTGTGGTGAGTGTGTGTGGTGAGGGTGGGTGATGAGCTCTGTGGTGAGTGTGTGTGGTGAGGATGGGTGAGGAGCTCTGTGGTGAGTGTGTGTGGTGAGGGTGGGTGAGGGGCTCTGTGGTGAGTGTGTGTGGTGAGGGTGGGTGAGGAGATCTGTGGTGAGTGTGTGTGGTGAGGATGGGTGAGGAGATCTGTGGTGAGTGTGTGTGGTGAGGATGGGTGAGGAGATCTGTGGTGAGTGTGTGTGGTGAGGTGGGTGAGCAGCTCTGTGGTGAGTGTGTGTGGTCAGGATGGGTGAGGAGCTCTGTGGTGAGTGTGTGTATTGAGGGTGGGTGATGAGCTCTGTGGTGAGTGTGTGTGGTGAGGATGGGTGAGTAGCTCCGTGGTGAGTGTGTGTGGTGAGGATGGGTGAGGAGCTGTGCGGTGAGTGTGTGTGGTGAGGATGGGTGAGGAGCTGTGCGGTGAGTGTGTGGTGAGGATGGGTGAGGGGCTGTGTGGTGAGTGTGTGTGGTGAGGATGGGTGAGGAGCTGTGTGGTGAGTGTGTGGTGAGGATGGGTGAGGGGCTCCGTGGTGAGTGTGTGTGGTGAGGATGCGTGAGCAGCTCTGTGGTGAGTGTGTGTGGTGAGGGTGGGTGAGGATCTCTGTGGTGAGTGTGTGTGGTGAGGGTGGGTGAGGATCTCTATGGTGAGTGTGTGTGGTGAGGATGGGTGAGGAGCTCTGTGGTGAGTGTGTGTGGTGAGGATGGGTGAGGAGCTCTGTGGTGAGTGTGTGTGGTGAGGGTGGGTGAGCAGCTCTGTGGTGAGTGTGTGTGGTGAGAGTGGGTGAGGATCTCTGTGGTGAGTGTGTGTGGTGAGGATGGGTGAGCAGCTCTGTGGTGAGTGTGTGTGGTGAGGGTGGGTGAGCAGCTCTGTGGTGAGTGTGTGTGGTGAGGGTGGGTGAGGATCTCTGTGGTGAGTGTGTGTGGTGAGGATGGGTGAGGAGCTGTGGTGAGTGTGTGTGGTGAGGGTGGGTGAGGGGCTCTGTGGTGAGTGTGTGTGGTGAGGGTGGGTGAGGAGCTCTGTGGTGAGTGTGTGTGGTGAGGGTGGGTGAGGAGCTCTGTGGTGAGTGTGTGTGGTGAGGGTGGGTGAGGAGCTCTGTGGTGAGTGTGTGTGGTGAGGATGGGTGAGGAGCTGTGGTGAGTGTGTGTGGTGAGGATGGGTGAGGAGCTGTGTGGTGAGTGTGTGTGGTGAGGATGGGTGAGGAGCTCTGTGGTGAGTGCGTGTGGTGAGGATGGGTGAGGAGCTCTATGGTGAGTGTGTGTGGTGAGGGTGGGTGATGAGCTCTGTGGTGAGTGTGTGTGGTGAGGATGGGTGAGGGGCTCCGTGGTGAGTGTGTGTGGTGAGGGTGGGTGAGGAGCTCTGTGGTGAGTGTGTGTGGTGAGGGTGGGTGAGGAGCTCTGTGGTGAGTGTGTGTGGTGAGGATGGGTGAGCAGCTCTGTGGTGAGTGTGTGTGGTGAGGGTGGGTGAGGAGCTCTGTGGTGAGTGTGTGTGGTGAGGATGGGTGAGGATCTCTGTGGTGAGTGTGTGTGGTGAGGGTGGGTGAGGAGCTCTGTGGTGAGTGTGTGTGGTGAGGGTGGGTGAGGAGCTCTGTGGTGAGTGTGTGTGGTGAGGATGGGTGAGGAGCTGTGTGGTGAGTGTGTGTGGTGAGGATGGGTGAGGGGCTCTGTGGTGAGTGTGTGTGGTGAGGATGGGTGAGGAGCTGTGTGGTGAGTGTGTGTGGTGAGGATGGGTGAGAAGTTCTGTGGTGAGTGTGTGTGGTGAGGGTGAGTGAGGGGCTCTGTGGTGAGTGTGTGTGGTGAGGATGGGTGAGGATCTCTGTGGTGAGTGTGTGTGGTGAGGATGGGTGAGGAGCTCTGTGGTGAGTGTGTGTGGTGAGGGTGGGTGAGGAGCTCTGTGGTGAGTGTGTGTGGTGAGGACGGGTGAGGAGCTCTGTGGTGAGTGTGTGTGGTGAGGGTGGGTGAGGAGTTCTATGGTGAGTGTGTGTGGTGAGGGTGAGTGAGGGGCTCCGTGGTGAGTGTGTGTGGTGAGGGTGGGTGAGGAGCTCTGTGGTGAGTGTGTGTGGTGAGGATGGGTGAGGAGCTCTGTGGTGAGTGTGTGTGGTGAGGGTGGGTGAGGAGCTCTGTGGTGAGTGTGTGTGGTGAGGACGGGTGAGGAGCTCTGTGGTGAGTGTGTGTGGTGAGGGTGGGTGAGGAGTTCTATGGTGAGTGTGTGTGGTGAGGGTGGGTGAGGAGCTCTGTGGTGAGTGTGTGTGGTGAGGGTGGGTGAGGAGCTCTGTGGTGAGTGTGTGTGGTGAGGGTGGGTGAGGAGTTCTATGGTGAGTGTGTGTGGTGAGGGTGGGTGAGGAGCTCTGTGGTGAGTGTGTGTGGTGAGGGTGGGTGAGGAGCTCTGTGGTGAGTGTGTGTGGTGAGGATGGGTGAGGGGCTGTGTGGTGAGTGTGTGTGGTGAGGGTGGGTGAGGAGCTTTGTGGTGAGTGTGTGTGGTGAGGGTGGGTGA